CTCATGATGACACAGGCTGGTGTGCATCTTTCATGTGGGCTTTGTTGCTTCTCAGCTAGATGGCTGCTTGTGACGCTATATCTTTTGATAGCTGGGCATCATCAGCTTTCTTCACCACATTTGCTTAGGCACCCATTTTGTCTTCAGCAATCCTGTCAGGGAAGATGAACATCACAGAGTGCTGTGTTAGTAGAACAACTTGTTCTTGCATTGAGGGAGTACTTGAGTGGAGGTTCAATGTCCATCTGCTACCATAATACTTTATAAATAAATATGTGTACATAGCTCTATTCCCCTGTCAGTGTAAATAAATCTATTTACATATATACATACCTGTATTTAGACCCCTATAACTGTCCTGTGCCTCCCAGGTCTTTCCTCTATTTCCTTTTACTTTCCTCCCATCCCACTGTCATGTTCAGCTTTCATTCAGGTTTTGGTAATTCCGCTCAGCTACATTGCCCTTGATTGAGCCCCCCAAGCATACTATGCCCTCCTTGCCATCAATTTTAGATCACTTATTCTTCTCTTGTCCCTGGGTTTATTGGCACCTCCCCCCGCCATCTCTCCCTCTCCCATGTCGCTCCAGAACCGCCAGTCTCATTGTTTTCTCCCCCGAATTGTTCATCCTGCCTATCATGTCTGTGTCCCGATAGACATGCATAGATAATAATATGTGCAACAACAAAGCAGAGCAAAACATAACAAAAAGTGAAGACAAAAACAAATCAACAACAGCTAATAAAATAAGAAAATAAATAAATAGGAAAAGAAAAAACAGCCAAAACTAAAAAGCTCGCAAACAGTGCCAGGTCTGTCCATTGATCTTTATGAGTGTTTTCCAGTTGAGTCCGCTGGAGTGCCATGCCCAGGCCCCCAAGTCCACCCTTGGCATTTATCTGGGACTACATTGCTTTGCTCCCCTTGCTGCTCTGCTGTATACCCTGATTGCTCACCCTGGTGCAATGGGGTTGGCTCAGGCACAGCTCCCATACCGTGTCCCCAGTGCTTTCCCCCTCAGCGATATGCGTCAGTGAGGATATATTGTCCTGTCTTGTGATGGAGCTAGCCCTCTGATCCTCTTTGTGCATTGGCTGCTCTGAGACAGAATAATGTCCTCTCCTTCCCTCTTTGCTTGCTCCTGATCATACATGCCCCACTTCCTGACAAAATTTCATTTTCATAGAATTATTTGATTATTTTATTTCTTTGTTAACTTATTTTTCCTGTGTCTCAACAAAAATAACACTAGGAAAAAAATTCATCCAGATTTATTTTATATTTCCAGTGATAATGGCATCAACAGCCATCAAGGGAGTCCCTGACTTATGAAGACTTCATGTATAACAGAATAAAATACTTCCCTGTCCTGTATTATCCCCACAAACACCAGAATTTTGTGAGCTACATATATGGATTTCATTAGATGATATTTAGACATAAATTGCCTTTCGTCTGGTTAATGTTAGTCTGGAAATTCTGTTGAAACAGTTTAGCATCATGTTACCCACAATCTTCTCTCACAGATGGGTGGTACTCAGCATAATATCCTCCAAGTTCATCCATGTTGTGAGTTATTATATAGGTTCATTGTCATTCTTTAACATTTGTAATAGTTCATTATGTGTGTATTATTGTTTATCCATTTTCTATTGCTGTCATTTAGGTTAATTTCATATTTGATATTGATATTGTGATGAACATATGTGTGCATGTATTTATTCCTGCCATACTACCTGGTTCTATAGCTACATACCAAATAGTGTAATTGCTAAGTCATATGGTATTTCTATATCCAACATTCTAAGGAAGTGCTATACCCTGTTCCAAAGTGGTTGCATCATTTTACAATCCCAACAGCAATGGATGATACTTCCAGGCTCTCTACATCCTCAGCAGAAATTAAATGGTGGTTTTGTTTTTCAGAACTTTCCTATTAATAGCAAGTTGAAATGATATTTCATGGTAGTTTTGATTAACATTTCTCAAATGGCTAATGATCATGAGCATTTGGTCAAGTGGTTTTTCTCATCTTTTTGCACTCTCCCTCATTTTATTAATGTTGAAGCTATATAGACTTCATTAATCTTTTTTTTTTTT